AAATGTACCATTTAATGTTAATAAAAAGATACTAACACTTAAGAAAAACTTATTTACAATCCTCACCGGCGGAATGTGGTTCATCAACTATAGTTACTCTTACGCTACAGCTGCTGTGCATGATTATACTCTTAATATTCCGCCATCTCTATACACAATCGAGAGATCTAATAATTCAATTATTTTTCAAATCTATGAAGTACATCGGCCAATCGAATACCTCCAAGCCGGAACAATACTCTACTTTAAAAATGAAGATGACTTATTCTTACTACCTTCTGCTTTCAATCACGCACATCTCCGCGCTATAAATATCAATGGGGATAGTGTGACTTTCCCAAAAACTAATTTTCAAAATTTCCAAAAAAATTTCCATATTGCTGCGACTTCATTCTTCAAAAATCTCAAAATGAGTGATTGCTCGTTCCAACGAAACAATCAAATCTCAGACGTCAACGACAATTCAACAAAAACGCCATTTCTCATGTGGTACTTTTTCTCCTTTAAAAACAACGTCCCTCATATGGTCAACAATAAAAACTTGACTTTCACTACTATTAGTAATAATTCAAAAACTAGTATATTAATAGTAAATCCAGCCGCATCGCTTCTCAGCCAAGAATCAAAAGAAATTATGTTCGAGGCGAAGGTCAATTTCCGCCCTGTTAATTTGAGTGTTCAAACAGTTATTATGTCGGACATCAATAAGTTTGGGGCGCCAAACGCCGTGTTTAAAATTGTAGAGAATATGACTACTAAGGTGTTTTATGAAAACAACACAATCTTTGTTCGTGCTGCATTTGACAAACAAAACTATGACTTTGCCAATGTGATCGTTTTGAGTTATGTTGCAAACATTGGAGATACTTTAATAGTTTTAAATACTAAACTTATACCATTAGATAATAATACTAAAAATTGTGACAACACTTATGATTGCGAAAATACGGAGTGCACAGTCGACAACACGTCACTCGATGTCGGAACGAGAAAGTGGATAAGAGGATGCGAACCACAATGCGGAACGTGTAGAGATGGATTTCTATGTAACACTATGGGAATGTGTCAGAAAGAAACTAACTTAAATTTGAGAAATGAGGGTTACATTAATATGGTTGTGTTATCGTTTTGTATTGTCAGTCTATTTCTTATTTGATTGATTGTGTTGTAGTTGATTAATAGTTTAGTAAACTATAATTAGTTTTTTTTTGTTTTTTATAATAACTACAGATGGGGGACTGAAGTTTCGACGAGTACTAAGGTTTCGACTTTTTATTTAATTACTATTTGAATAGTAATGAACAAATAAAGTTTCCTAATTTTATTTTCATAAACATGGTCCAAATATAACTTTTCATATTTAGTTATTATAATAGTATAAAAATTATTAATTATTAGTTGAAACCATGGTTTTGGTCGAAACCTTAGTACCATGTTTGTATAATTATTACTAATTATAGTTATTATAAAATTTTATAAAAAAATATGTATAAACCCAAAATAATAATTTATTTTTTTATTCACTTTAATAAAATTGGTGTTTCGAATAAAAAACAACATTTTGATGTTGTATATTTGCCAGTACTATACACAGTCAGTAGTAACAACTCATTTGTTATTTAAAAATTATAATTTAGCAAATAAAAAGAAAACAAATAACTACAAGTTATCAAACAAATCATTTAGTAAATTGGATTGTCGATACAACACAATTCTAAAAACAAAAACTTAAATAATTATAATTCAAAAGAAATAAAAATAGAAACCCATAATAAATGGTTGATTATAATCAAATATAGTTATTTATCGAGCCGGACTTTTTATTACCAACTCTATATAAAGTTAATTTATTTTTAAAAAACGATACAGTCTGTCTTTAAAAGTTATTTGGTATTTTTTGAATCATAAATATTGGAATTTTAAGGGAAGCCATCTCAAATTTATACTTATAAATAAAAATGTTTTATGAATGTTATTTATTTTTTATAATACAGTGCCTAAAATGAGTGGGCGACCATTAAAGTGAATCCCTGACTTTAGTAAAAATCCCTAATGATTAGGACCATTTCCCGAGCAAAATTTAAATCATAATTTAAGTATTTTTAGAAAAAATATTTAGCCAATCAAAACGATTTTTGAGAAAAAAAAACAAAATCTTAAAAAAAATGGGTGAATTTAGAAAATCTTAAAAGAAAAAGGGAGGAAATAGAAAATCTTAAAAAATAAATGATGTTAAAAAAATTCACGTTCCAATTCAACCAAATGGTTTTGAATGTGGATAAAGAGTAATGGAATCAATCGAAAAATACTGCAACAACAATATTGAATATAAGCTGTTCAATCACAATGAATTCTTAAACATATGGATTCCAGAAATGATGAAAATACTTAATTTTAATTGATTTTTTCTTGAATAGTTTTTTATAATTAAATTAACTAAAATAAAAAACCATTTATTCCAAACTGGAATTAGAAAAAAACAAATTATAAAACAGAGAAAAGGAAACATCACTGCTAGGTTTGTTTTGTTTTGTCGATTAGAAACCGTTTACTCACTTTTTAGAAAAGCTAAAGAAAAATAGCTATTGATTTTTTGGAACTTGAAAATATTAATTAGATTAAATGAATAATTGGAATTGCTATTTTTACAAAGTGATATTAAAAGTTTTTGTGTTATTAAAAACAATAACAAATTTTTTGTTTTATAAAACAAAAAAACAATAACGTTTTCTTCGAATTAAGCAGGGGCTTCATAATTTTTACTATTTCCGCCCTAATACTTTAAAAGTCGCCCATCCATTTTAGGCACTGTATTGTTTATTCAAACTGTAATTTAAATGATTATTTATATAACATCGAAAAACATAAAATATTCAAGTGTTTGACATAAATGGATGTTACTAGCAATAATTAATTAATTTCAAAAAATTAAATAAATATATTAAACTTTGATAATAATGTAAAATAATTTTTGATGTATTGAATCACTCACCAAAACATTCTATTTTCTCTAGTTTAAATCTTTATTATCAAATAACGATTTCGTAATAATAAATATTTGAATTAATTATTATTTTCGAATTAAAAAAATATTTAAACCGACTCAGACTAAATCATGTGTTTGATGTTTTATTTAAATAGAGCTGATCTTAAAATTTATAATAATTATCATGATAATTATTATGGCATTTTATTTTATTTATCTTGTTAATTCTTATGAATTAAATTGTTATCCAGTTGGGTATAATCAAAGTGAAGGTTTTAGATCAGAAAACGGTGTTAATTGTGATCAAAATACTCAATTAAATATTTCTATTTGTTTTAATCACGATTTTACATTTACAACACTGTTTTCTTGTGGTTTACTTGTATTTTCATCTCCAAATGAAATAACCATTTATTCCAACAATTGGATAAACGCACTGCAATTATTTTATATAACTGAAAACACAAGTGTTGTTTTCAATGGATATTTTCACTCAGACCAAGATCTAATTGTAGAAGAAAATGCAACAATTCAAGTTTTCGGTCAGTTTTCAATAGGTTATGATTTAACGATTGAAAATCCACAACTTGACAAGCCGCCTATTGTGTTATGGCAATCTGATAGACTTCATTTGTACAGAAATAATAAAAATTTTGATATAAGAAATCCAATCAACAATTTAAATTGTTTTGACGTGTTGTCAATGAGCAATACAAGTTGTTTGAATTTTGACAATTACAGCACTCACTTGACCACATTAGATTTTCCTCACGTTTTCAAAGAAGGTGTAGCAAGTCTTTTATCAAATGGGAAACTTATGAGATTCTGTCCAATAAAAACTATATTTAATAACACCGTGACATGTACTTTAAATCAATATAATTACCAAACAGAATACAATGGAAATAAAAATTATGTGTTTGACTATCCACACTGCCCATGTGACGACTCAAAAACAAATTGCTATTTATATCTCAATCAAAACATTTCAAATTTTAATTTTCAACTTGTTGAAATGCCAGACACAATTCTCGTGATAGAAAAAAGTGTTGATATAACTAATGCAGATATAATCAAAGAAATTCAAATCAATGATGATATCTGTGTAAATATAACATCTCTGTATAAAGATGAGATAATCCAATTTTCATTTGGGACATTGACTGTAATAGAAGGTATTACACAAAAATCATATTCTCTGAATTTCAATTCGACAACACACACTTTGAGTATATCTCAAAACTTGAATTTAAAAGTCGAAATATCAAGTCAAATTACAGAAATAAAATTGGATGTGGAAGGAATCATTGATAATATTGTGTTGAATGTAAAATGTTTTGTAACATTTGGAAAAAAGGTTGAAAAGGTCCACCAACTTACACACAATGATATACTGAAAACAAATGATGTCGTTGTGTTGTATTTTGAAAATGAAACAATCGAAAACTCAATGAATTCAAATTGCATTTTGATGGAAAGTTTTATGTCAAAAACTGTTTGTATTAAATGCAATTCAAACACAAGACTTGTTGATGGCATGTGTGTTGGTTTATCTCTAAACTGTAAAACATTCAACTCAGAAAATTATTGTGTCGAATGTGAAAATGGATATCTGATGAGTGCCGACAACAAATGCATACAAAGTTATAATTATTGTAACATTGGTAATGAAGATGTGTGTATCAGATGTGAAAATGGTTATTTTATTGATAATGGGCGATGCACAACAAACGAAAACTGCAAAGCAACAAATGGTGCCAATTGTATAAAATGCCACAACGGAGAACTCAACACCAATTGTGACACATGCAGTGATGTCAACTGTATAACATGTGAAAACAACAGGTGTATTATATGTAATGATGGCTATTATATTCAAAACGATGGAAATTGTTTCCAAACAAAAACAGAATCAAATTATGTTTACAACAACATCATTTACTGTAAAAATGGGTATTACATTGATAACTCTGAGTGCAAAAATTGCTCGATTAGAAATACAAATTGGATGAAATGTGATGTTGAGAAGCCAATGAAATGTTCAACAACTTATAAAATCACAGAGAGTGGAAGTTGTGAATCGACAACATGCAAAGACAATGAAGAGATGGAACAGAATGGGAGGTGTTCTGCAACACAAGATAATTGTGTGTTTACACTCAATAATAAATGTCTTGAATGTTTTAACAATTACATGATAGATGACAATGGAAATTGCATACAAAACAGTGGAGATAACGCACAATATAAATGTAAAGAAACAACACAACATGGGTGTGTGAGGTGTAACGACAAATACTATTTATTGAATGGTAACTGTGTGAGTTGTGATGGTAAATGTGACACCTGCATATCAACTTCAACGTTTTGTCTGTCGTGCAAAGATGGGATGTTTTTGAGTGACCACAAGTGTATTACAAACAACGACTTGGATGGTATTTGTACACAGTTTATACCATCGGGTGGGTGTGTCAAATGTGTTGATGGGTATTACAGAAGTGAGTTGTCTTGTGAGAGATGCGATGTCAAATGTGGGACTTGCAACAACAGAGAAAGTTGTTTGACTTGCAACTTAACTAACTATCGGACATCAAATGACGAATGCAAACCACAAAGCGATATTGTTGGATGTCGACTAGAAACAACACAAAATGGATGTGCCAAGTGTTCTGATGGGTATTTCACAGTCAACACAAACGAGTGTGAGAAGTGTAGTAAAACTTGTGCAACATGTTCACAAACAACAGACACGTGCACTTCATGCGATACAAATGAAGTTTTAGTTGACTCACAATGTGTTGATATTTCATCAATAACAAATTGCAAAGAAGTTGGTTACTCAAAATGCACCAAATGCTCGTTTTGGCACACTCCAAGTGCAAATGGCACCTTTTGCAAAATAAAAGCTGTGTGGTGGATGATAATTGTGATAGTCGTTGTGTGTATATTATTAATCATTTTAATCACAACTATTCTATTTATCATAATTAAAATTGTTATCAAAAATATTATAATGAAGAAAAGAGAGAAGACAACAACTCTGTTCAACATTAAAATGTCAAATATTACATTTACTTCATTACAAGGCGGCGTTTGTATCAACAAAACTGAGTTGATATTTAACACCAAGTGTGATGAAATACCAGTTGGCAAAGAAAGTTGCGAACTTC